ATTATTATTATTATTATTATTATTATTATTATTATTATTATTATTATATCTCCATGGTTTGTCAGAATGAAATTGTACATGCATATCTGATTGAAAACAATATCAAGTTACTTGTCAGTATCAGTACTAAGCATCCATAGTTCAATAAGGGATCTAAATTTTATCCCAGAATGAGTTCTGAAGTACTAAATTGTATTTTAAAAACATCATTAATGAGAGTAGATGACCTGTAACACTGTTCAGCTTTTTCATTGCTAACCTTTTGCAATATTGTATTTATTTTCTACATTTGATTGCTAAGATTTTTTTTTTCAGTTTGGGAATGTGTATATCTCATGTTCATTTTCCCATTGTTTCCATTAATTTGAGTTAATTTATTTTCCTTGCAGATTAAGTCATTCATATAAGTGTCCACTAAGCACAACTTTTTAAATAGTTAAAATAGTACCGATTACATCAATTATCATGTGTTCCTGTTACTTTCAGGCTGTACTTAGATTAGTGCCATGGGGAATTTAAAAACAGCACTAACACCTATGCAAACTTTTACTATCCTGAGTAGAAAATGACAGTGGGTGCATTTTAATTACTTCTCCCCATCATATATATTAAAAAAAGTCTGGTAACTTCACGTCCCATTAATAAAAAAAAATTTGTGTGTTTTTTCTGCTTCATGGAATGGGACCATTTAGCCTAGACTGGGTCTCTTTTAAGAGGAAGGGAGAAACTAGTTCTTGTGTGTTCTATTCCTGTTCATACCTGTCTATGAAACCTTCCATTTCAGACAATTCCATTTGTAAAAGCTATTAAGACAACAACAACACCAATAACAATAGCCTTCTCCCCATGTAAATATAATTAGAAACAGCCTCAGCTTTTTTCCCTCAACAAAAACCAACTTCTAGGTCAGGGGTGTCAAATGTGACCTATCATGACTTTTCCCCCTTTGCTAAAACGGGGGTGGGTATGGCCCGCATGTGACGCCTGCGGGCTACAAGTTTGACACCTCTGTTCTAGGTTATCAAAACTTTCACCAACTTTCAAAAATAGGACTGCTTTTTAAATCAATCTAAATCTATTCGAATTTCTAATTATGGAAATGGAACTATGCATTTCCTAACTTACTTTGGATACAGTCTGAAAAGAAACTAGAATTGATCATGAAGGCAAAGAGAAAAATAGTAGTAGCCAATATTGTCTTCTGCAAATAGTATAGTTCTGTCCTGTGCTTTGATTTGATTCTTTTTACAAGTTTAATTCCATATCTTGGTGCAGAATTTATGTACAGAAGGGGGTTAACTTTTGAAGAGGCCTGACTTTTTCTGACATTAATCGTTATATTAGCCAGACAATCTCTTTCCCATGGTACACACTCTTCAACATGCCCCAAGATTAACATTTAATGTTTCATTTTGGAACCACTTAATAGAAATTTCCTTGATTTGCACACTTGCTTATGACCCTGTTTTCAATCAGGGCTGTGGAAAATGATATGAATAGAAGGGTTTATTGATTAGAATATGATAATATAAATTATATAATTCTAAAACAATTAATTATAAAACAATCAAAATATAAAAGAATGACATTTATATAAATATGGATAAAACAGGGAAGGGGAGAAACATTAAACACCTCAAATTCTACATGTATTTTTGTATAAATAATTAACGTAACGAATGAACTCTGGTTATATATATATATAATTTGTTTCCTTAATTCACAACTTTTCAGACTTAGAAGTCACAGTGCAATTTGGTAAAGTTTTGAGCGATCAAAGATAAATACTTTTGTTAATATTTATAACTATTGATTTTTAGAATGTCTTAACAGACTTCAAATTTACTGTCTTGAAATTTCCTAAAAGAACAGGCAAGGTTTGAATCAAATATTATATTCTAGATACTAAAATACTAAATACTAAAAACAACAGAAAAAAAACAACTATCCTGAAGTTTCAGTCAGGGTAATTTACAGAAGTTAGCAAAATATTGCCTACAAGATAAATTATGGAAATATCATTAGGAGAATGCATTTTATTCATAATATTTATTACAATGTAAATGGTGTCGCTCAAATTAGTTCTGGTAGATTACCAAATATGTATACTGTCCACTTTGCTTTTTACAACAATTTTTTTATGTTTTTATTTTAATTTGTGCAAGTACAGAGATGATCATTTGTTTAAGATTTTCAAACTAATTGCAAACTAATAACATAAGTCTAGTTTAATTTTTTTATTAAAGAACACTAAAACAAAATGCATGTTTAATACAAATTTTAGCCATTCCCCATTCATGAAGTTAATATATCTAGGCAATTGTTTCAGTTCCCCTACTTATATTTAAAACTAATACCTCAAGCATTTGTTCCCTTTTTTAATGTGTCACCATCGCATATCAATGTAATTCACTTTGTTATGTTTAATTGCTTGTAGCAACACAGCTACTGAATTATGTAAATAACTGTATTGTATTGAATTCAACATCTTCTTGAAACCTCCTGCATTAGGTTTCTGTTCTATATGGTAGTATGGATTGTATTCTAAAGACCGCTAGACTTGAAAATTCAATATCTAGGTGAAACAGATTTGTGTAAGAATATTTCAAGAGCTTAAAAATACCATGTCAAATTTTTTTATCAATTTCAAAATATATTATTGAGCCATTTTTATGTAGCATACTTTAAAGCTATAATCACAAATGTTTGACAAAGTAGAGAAAATCCATGTGAAACATAAGTTATTAGCAGACTCCTATCTTATCTAAATAAGTAAAAGATGACAGATGGCCTAAGTGATCCATTGTTGTTTTAAGAATTAAACCTGGAATCATTCATCACAGCTTTGAACTATAAACAAACAGCTACACTAAGGCCCACCCCCACACTTGTAAGTTCATCAAAGCCTGACACTCCAGAAGCAATTCCATCAACAGACACATTGACCTACAACCAACCTATGAACCCCTCAGAATCCAAATCAACTGCACACCAACCAGAGACACCACCAACCCTCAACCAACCCATGCAACTCCTCCCCCACCAGCAGTTCACCTGACCCTGACCTGATTTAAACTTCTTATCACAAAACTCATCATAAGGCTCACTGATGACTCACACCTGACCCATCACAAGAGCTGTCATGTCCATGTTGGAATCTGATTCTGAGGGGGAGGCCGAGCAGCTGACAGGGAGTGGGAGTGTGGCTCCGTTGGCTGTGGAAGAAACTGGAGAAGGACAAAGTCCAGCTGGGCAGAGCAGGAGAGATCTATAGCAAGGCAGAGGGAATTCAAAGGAAGACCCAGGCCCACCCCCTCTTCATCTTAAGGAGGAACAGAGGGAGGAACAGAAGGGAGCAATGTGAGTTGTGTGTCTTGCGGGGGAGGAAAGAGCTCTGATTCCCTTCATTAGCTGCAGCTGGGAAAACAGTGTTTAAAAGGGGGAGTTGCGCACAGCCAACTGCTGAGAGCAAATCACGAGTTATCTGGTATTGTTGAGGCTTATCTGGGGTCCTGGGGTCTTCCCAACTGTGTGTGTTTTGCTGGCCTTTCAAGTCTGCAATTCCTTATCCTGCCTGATCAGCTGGATCTTCATTTGTTGCCCTGCACAGGAGAACAGTGCTGGAAAGCAGGTTAGTGGGGCGAGGAGGGAATGGGATTTTGCAGTATCCTTCCCCTGGAGTGGGGTGGGATTGGAGATTTTACAGTATCCTTTCCCTGCCACACCATGCCCACCAAGCCATGCCCACAGAACCGATAGTCAAAAATTTTGAATCCCACCACTGCATCACAAGGCCCTCACTTGACACGCCCACACCAGAAGCCCTTATAAACAGAACACTGACATCCCTTAAACTCTGCTGAAGATGTTACCTAGCCTGGTAACAAAATGTTCAGAAACCAACCCACAAGCTTGGAGAACGAACCTTCACCCTCATCTTACACCCCAGCTATAGATATTCACCACTATTGCAAACAAACAAAAAAATGCCACAGAGTTTATGGTTGCTGCATTTTTATAAGCATCCTGCTGCTTTTGCACCACACTAACAGCATTATATTTTTCCATGATGCCACTGGCAGGGCCTAAGTACCACTGAGACCACATTGCTCATCTCTGACCTTCAAGGGGTAAGCAGCTACAGGGGAAGTGGTTATATATTCCTGCATGGATGGTATTGTGTTGCGTTGTTTGTCAAAATGCAGCAAAAGAAAAGAGAGACAAAGGGGGGGAAAGATTTTTCCAGTTTTCCTGAGATCTTTGAAGAACCAAATATATGCTTCAGATATCAGCAGATTATAAGTAGCAGATTTCTTCAGTGTGGCTGAAAAAGATTTGGACTTCAATTACAAGAATTCCCAGTTATATGAGTTACAGTTCCGGCATGAATGAAAGATTAGAGGTTAAGTAAACCAGTTTTGTAGGGTTACATTTCTGAAATAATACTTCCATCAGGGGTGATTACTTAAATACTACTGATTGCCTCACCAAAACTGTAATCCTCTAATATTTTCCACTGGAAGAGTTTTGAAAAAAATCACTAAATGTATAGTTGTATACAGACAATAAACATCTTTGAAAAGTCAGCCTAACACTGAAAACTGGAAAGATTTTTCTTTTTCTTTTCTCTTTTTTTTTTATGTTTGATTTTGCTTTGGAATGAGTTTACATTAAGGGTCTGGGGTCTTTTTTAACAGAACTTTGGCTTGTTTATTAACACGGAATTCATTTCTACAGCAATGAAAAATTGCATGCACTCTCTAAGTAAACTACTTGTACATCACTTCCCTGTAAGTTGCAGTGAAGGATCAAGTTTATATTTTTGGGCAGGGGTGAGTGGAATAGTCTGAGTGGGATAATTTTAAAGTTGAAGTCCAAGCAAGAATAATATAGCTTACTTTTTTAAAGTAAACAATTTCTAATGAGTAAAAACCAGGATGAAATTGTATTACCTCAATGTACTCTGAAAATAGACCTAAAATGTACATTTCTTTCCTTAGTAATTTAAATTCTGACATAGTAACCTCTTCAGCTCCCTCCTCACATGGGGTAGTGTCTTACTAATGTTTTCTATTACTAATATGCTTTTCTTTTGCCATGGGTCTTTCGGTGCATTTATAGTTTTGATGTAGGAACAGAGTTTTTCTATTATTATCTTAAAATACTACATGGCAAAAAGTATAATAATATTGAAAGAAAATGAGAGTAAATCCTGAAAGCAACTTACTTCAGGTTTGTGTTCTTTTTATGAATTTATATTTGAAAGGCTGGTGAAAAAACTTTTATTAAGGTTTGTATAACTGTTTATGTGGCAAAAGAATTAAACTATGCAGTGCTTTTTTTCAAAAGTGTTTATATTTTTCTGGTCTATACTGTAATGTCTTGAAAAATGTTGAGAGCACAACAGCACAAAAATGCTCCATTGTTGTGTGTATGTGATATAAAAGGATATTAATGTGTGATGTGAAAATTGTGCTTCAGTCTAGGAAAGCATGTTTTCTTAATGATAGTAGGAAGTCTCTTGTATTGCAGAAATAATATAATGGCATTTTCTCCAATGAGAGAGACACAAAGGACAGTGCAATATTAAAAAGTCCAATTTTACAGAGTATTGTCCATGCAGATTTTGCTTAAGGATGACTTACTTAAAAGAGAATTTAAAATCTTGAAGATTCTCCATGTCACCTTCTGCAATTGTACTATATGCTGGATTTTCATAATTTTAATCATAATATATACTAATTACATAGCAATGCAATAATGTGCATGTTTGCTGAGAATAAAATTCCTTGGAGTACAATAGAACTTACTTTTAGATAAGTATGTATGAAACTACAATTGAAAAAAAAAACGATGAACCTACCACCCTTCTAGCAATATACTGGCAACATACATGTGGAGAAGCAAGTAGCATTTGCTGTTTTCCTACTCTTTTCTTCTGCTTGCAAAACAAATAAATAAATCATATCTCCTCACAGTAGAGATTTGGGAGCATGTGGCTTCTTTAGTCTCTCTAGAGTTCTACATTCAGACTCGGCCACATTTTTCAGAGTTTTCTCATTCTAGGAGGGAATAAAACATCTGAGGACATTAATTGAGATATAAATGGAGATTTATCCAAGATCAGGTTCCCCCTCCTAAATCAAAATTCTTTCTCCTGCTTCAGAAGTTAAAGCCACTTTGTAGTAAATATTGATAAATGTAGACCTGTTACATCTTATTTTGGGTTTATGGATAAAGAAAGGTCAAATATTTAATAGTATTACATTTTGTGAAAACTAAGGTCAGCAATAACATAAGACTTATAGCTGTTCATAACCCTCTAAGACAAAGGGCACAATATGTGACTAATCTTGCATTGTAGCATAACTCTAAAACATGGAAACTGGCTCTGAAGAATATAACTTCTCCATGTTGGTCACATAAATACTATTGTATATCTCTAAATGAATATTGTTTTGTTATATGGATTAATTACCAAATATTTAATCTGGATAGGATAAGAAAATGAGTCTTGTACATCTGTTAAGAATCCAACATCTTATATAACTTCTTTCTTTAACATAAAGGTATAATAAATAATTCAGGAAGTTTATATGGGTCCTCAAAAGACCACGCCCATTCTTGTGGCAGAACATCATTCATTCTTGTAACCCCACCAGTTGGATCCAAGCTGGTAACTTCCACCCATGAATAATAAATATGAAGGGGTTATGGAAACAATGACTCTACATCTTGTAAGAAAGCTGTGGGTGGCTATTCTGAATACTAAAACATCCTTCATCAATCTGGTTTCCTACAGATGTGTTGAAGCATTCCAAAATAGCAGGACTGTAAACTGTCAGTTTCATTTCTAGCATAGCCTCCTTGAGTCACCATGTGTAAATAGACATCAGTATAAATTTCGTAAAATAAAATAAATATCTGGAGAACAGCAGGTGATAGAGGGTTTTCTTTAAGACCTACACAGGCATTTCTTGTCCATTTCTTTCCTTCAGATTATGAAGTTATTCAATAGTCTGGAAAAATTTCTTCAATTCCCTGATCATACAAAGTTGTAGAATTAGGGGTTGGGTTTTTTTGGAGAGAGTTTGCTCATATATTAACACCCTGTTGGTTATTCCAGAAGTCTGGAAGGAGATTCAATCTGTTCCTGAAGCGACGTCTCAGGGTAAACCATTGACAAATTGTACCACTAACACCTGGATGGCTGCAGTGATAACAAGCTTCATTATGTGATGTCTCTCTTTAATAGGGAACAAGATGAAGTAATGAATTTTAGCCTATACCTTGAACAAATAAATATAAATCACACACACTTACAAAGAATTCAATATCTGTCAAAGGGTATGATTCTAAAGCTTCCTATATAGCTCCTATTTCATTGAATGATATGAAGCAGCCTTATTTTATACCTCCTTAATTGCTGAATATATTTTATCACAATTGAAAAAAATATGTTTCTTTGGAATAATTCTTTACATAAGGTGCTATTTAGTAAAGTCTAGCATTTTAAAAAATAGGTATAAATCATTTAGGTACCAAATATAATGTGGTAAATCCAAAATTCCTCTGTAGGCTATACTCAGCCTCGTAGTAGAATTACCTTATGTGTAAGGTATTATATTTAATCAAACATGATCAAAGAGTGGAAGGGCTGCAAGGACCCTTAAATATTATTAACCCAAGCCTACTGTAAGAAACCACTAACCATTAACTTTCCAAGCAGTTCGGAGAACCAGTTGTTGGAAGAAATCTCCTTTTGTTTTTTCCCCACCCTTCTTACATTCTTGGCAGTATGCCTAGACTTATGTCTCAGAAGGAGGTTTTTTTCCTTTGCTGATACTTTCTTAAAAGGGAAGGGTTGTTTTAAGCTTTTTACACTGCTGTGGGGAGGAAATACTCCCCGTTGGAGTTAGCACTTTGAAGAAATAATTGAATAATGAAGCAGAGCTGCCAAAAAGAAGCTTTTAATGACAAGGAACCAAGATGAGTGACATTCAGCAAGGTTTCTTGGCTAGCTAGAAAGATTGACATTCAAACGTGAGTTTACATACCCTTTTTGAGTTTTGGTGTAAAACTGGTGACCATTCAAAGTTACAGTGGCACTGAAAAAGTGACTTATGACCATTTTTCACACTTACGACCATTGCAGCATCCCCATTGTCATGAGAGGCCAGGCAAGAAGTGCCCCTTGATGTGAGTGACATTGAGTTGGCCATGCCCACGCAGTCACATGACCAGCAAGCCACACCCACCAACTAAGCCATGCCCACAGAACCGGTTGTTTAAAAAATTGAATCCCATCCCTGGCTATAACCTTCAAGCCTAATAGATATGTTGTGGGAGATTCTAGGGAAGGTTACCTTGCATCTCTTCCCCTCCTCCTCCACCCAGTGTGAGACTGTGCAGTCTCTTATTTTGGGCCTCTATGCCACCTTCCATCTGGGAAGCTATGGTGCTGTCCCCATTCTCCACCTGCACATTCCCATCACAACATTCAACCCTTTGGAATAAATGGGTTATTACTGTCTGGATCAGTTGGATTCTGCAGATTTAATTCTCAAGGAATTCAAAAGGGCAGCCTCCAAATTTTGCTACCTTTATTGCTCTACTGGACTGAGAGAGAGTGACTAACCCAACCCAATTTCATGCCTAAGACAGGACTAAAACTTGCAATCTGCTGTTTCTAGCCAGCATCGCAAGACCACTACATTGAATAGAATCTCAACAAAAAGTCTTGACCAATTGTTCCTCTTCCCTATTTATTCTTCCAATCAAATACCATTAGAAGACCTTGAACCTGCGTAGATTCCTCAACGTAGGGTGTCCACTTGCTCCCAGAAAGCCTGATGACACTCATGCCTTTCTTGCTCCATCTCCTTTTCTTTTTCCAAACACCATCCCCAGAAAAAGTATATGAAGATAATGCCATCTGAGAATATTGAAGTGTAGGTGGTAGGAAAGACTGATAAGGAACTGTTCTAGACTTTCCCCCCTAAAGTTTCCTTAGGGCTTTATCTTTTTTTTAATTTTTAATTTTACTTATTTATTTTGAGGCAGAAGGACCCAGGGATCTCCTTTTGAAACTCAGAAATAGCAAGTAAATAACAAAATTTATGACTGTGTGATGGTTACTAATCTCCTTTTGAAAGTAAGAAATATATTTAAAAACAAACACTTAAACAATAATAATCCCGAAACTTGTGCAATCATAAATACTTTTCAAATCTGCAGTCAGGTAGATTTCATTTCTGCACATCTTGTTTTCCTAAACTATAATATTACAGCACTTACTCTTTTATTTTCAGAGCTGTTTCTGTGCTTTCTGCTTTCACATGTTGTCACTTTATACAGCAAAATGTACAAAATTGCACTGGGACTAAAATACTTCTGCAACATAAAAGAGCATTTCAAAATAGCAACCCTGTGTCTTTGTTCAAATGTATGTTGACTGGCTTCTTTATTCTATCGCAAACTTGTGAGTCTTAGTGTAGGCTTCAGAAATTACTGTTTAATAAATACCTTTATAACAGGGCGACTTCATTGTGGCAAATGTCTCTGCATTTGTGCTTGCTTATTCATGAAGAAAGTCAGTCATGTCAGTGTTTGGCTGTGCAAATATAAGAAAAATATATTTTGTAACTATGCTGTCTGAAAATAAATGTTATTTATATCTTATTTGACCTTAGTCTTTTCCCAGAACTGAACACTTGAAAAAACTTAAATACATGTGGAAATATAACACATGTACAATGGATGCTGATACAGTGATGCTTTCTGTTCTCTCTAGATTGATAAGAGACACCAAAGCAAGGATTCTGTTTTCTTCAGAGATGGTATACGGAGAGTAGACTTTGTACTTACTTATGTGGATGATCCAAAAATGGATGGAGAAAAAAAAGTGGTAAGCATCTTTTAAAACTTCTGAATTTAAGGCATAGTTTTGCTTTTTGTGTGGCAACAACCTGGAAAGTCTATGCAGTTTTGCTTGTATTTTGCTCTTGAGTGCTGTTCCTGCCATGGCATGGCACAATTCTAATGTGTGCTCTTTACGATGAAAATAATGTGCTTTCATCTCTACAAACCAAGATCAAGGTTTTTCCCCCTAAAGTAATTGTTGATGTAATGTTAAAATAAATTATGTTTGATGAAGCCAGTTGTGCTGCATGCAAGAAAAGAAAGCTAGATTCTTTTTTTCCTGCCAAACTTTGTTTGAGTGCTCTCTTATACAGTATATAAGTGAAATCCCTTTATCTAGATTAGCAGTCGCCAACTGGTGGGCTGTGAGAAAATTTTGGTGGGCCGCAGAGAAATCTCACCCCCAGAGCACCCCACCCCAAAGCAATTAATCCAGTCTGTGCAGAAACACAAGGCTGCACCACCCACATGGCCTGCGGGACCCTCCCTGTCCACTCACTCCTTACCTGGCAAACAGGCCTGCTAGATTGCTATTTTTCCTTTTTCTGACCATCAGCTGTTCTGCTGTGCCGGGAGATTTAGATTAGCTAGGAAGCAGGAAAAGGTTGGATTTCTTGCTTTCTAGCTAGTCTTTAGATCTTCGGCTCTGCATTTAAGCACAGCCAAACAAACCTCCCTTAGGACTGAAGGTTCTATTATTCAGTGCAGACTCATGGCAAGCAAATTTTATGTAACAGACTCAGGTAGCCGATGGCAGATAGATAGATCATTGAATGATTCTGTGAGCAACTCAACTTGCCTGCCTGCTTTACCTGATTTTGGGTAAAAGTTGCTCTTTTTTTAAATAAAAAATTCAATATTTACATACATGATGTGTTATGAGTTAATTTTGTGAGTTTTCTTGCAAGCAAATTTTATGTGACAGACTGAGCTAGCCGATGGCAGATAGATAGATCCCTGAATGATTCTGTGAATATGTGAACAACTTAATCTGCCTGTCTGCTTTGCCTGATTTTGGGTAAAAGTTGCTCTTTTTTATAAAAAAATTCAATAATTATATAAATATTTATAATATTTACATATAAGCCATGCCCAGCCAGTCACATGATCACCAAGCCACACCCACAAATTAGGCCACACCCACAGAACCAGTTAGTGGTCACTGGGATTTAAAATTATGAGTTTAGTGGTCCCCGAGGTCCAAAAGTTTGGTGACCCCTGATCTAGATCACAGGTGTCAAATTTGATTGCATCACGTTGACTTTGCAGAGCCAGGGTGGGCATGGCCTTTGTGGATCCAGGATTGGTATGGCCTGTGCATCCGGCCAATGGGCTGCCTGTTTGACAGGCCAGATCTAGATAAGATGCTTCATGTTACAATACTTCATCCTGATCAGAGATGGTATTCAGCAGGTTCTGACCAGTTCTGGAGAACCGGTAGCGGAAATTTTGAGTAGTTCGGAGAACTGGCAAATACCACCACTGACTGGAGATTTTACAGTATCCTTCCCCTGCCACGCCCACCAAGACATGCCCACAGAATCGGTAGTAAAAAAAATTGAATCCCACCACTGATCCTGATATACTGTATTTTGTGACACTTTGGGCCTCTAAGATTTCCTATGACTGGAAGATGCTTTTGCAGAAATATACAAGTTAATGGACATTGCTTGAAGACTTCCTGTGGCTGAAATATGCTTCTGCAGTTTCTGATAGCTTTCTCTAACTTGGCATCCTCCAAATATGTTGGCCTTCAAGGCCCATAATTTTCCTGGCTAAGGATTATTAAAGTCCAGAATACCAGGATAGAAAAACAAAAAGTAACCACCAGTCATATGGAGAAAAAAAATAACCTGGGTGTGTATGAATATCATTTGTGTGGTTGGAAAAATCATTCAAATACCAGACACATAAGTCATAATTATTTCATGCCCTCATGAACTTTTAAGATTTCTGACCAAGTGCTTCTCAAAGATATCTGAGTGTGCTCATAATATAGAAAGTCAAATAAGTCTATTTGATTTCAGTTTGATTTAATAGGACTGTTTTTCACTTTAAGAAAAAGTAAAAAATCCTTCCTCTCCCCTATTTTTATTTTTTTTCCTGTGGGGATAGTTGACATTTTGTACATTACATTGTATGGAGTAGTACATTTAATTATATGTCAGTGGAGTAAGTTTCTTGTTACAGTTATGCTGCTGTTTCAAGAAAGATAGCATCTTGTTTAGTTTCATAACGGATGTATCCTATAAACCTTGTACAATATGGAAACATCTTTCACATGCAATCATGTGAAAAAGTAAATATACCCAATATAAAGTTTTTTTTTCTTGTATATATTTATATTTTATCTTTATTCAAACCATATATAAAGGATAGGATGATATAATTAAACAAAAAAAAAACTTATAAAACAATTTCTGGTCTTTGCCTCAGTCAACATTTCCCAAACTTGGGCATTTCTAGGAGTCTGGACTTCAACTCCCAGAATTCCATAGCCAACATAGCCAATGAAGAGAATTCTGAGGTCCATTCTCCCAGAAATACCCAAGACTGAAAAATGCTAGCCTACCTGTTCGTGGGGAAACTTCAGTGTTTTGTTAACAATTAAAGTTAAAAATAATTCATCCTAGAACAAATATCCATGTTTGTTTCTCAAAGCCATTTCTTATCAGTTCTCTATTTCTTTAATTGCTGGTTTTTCTATGTTTTATAGTTGGATTGTGTATTTTTATTATTTCAAGCGATCTTAGAGGAAGAAATGGTTATTTATCAAATTTGTTTAGCCATTCATTTCACCAAAGGCAACTCACCAAGGTCTATGTACATAATGTGACATGACCAATCTTAACAAGGACTGGACTTCAAAACAACTGCTAGACTGTGCACTTTTTTACGTCAATATGCTTAATGAAGGCACCCTTTTATTTTAATATGCTTAGCCATTTTTCTCTCCATGAGGGAAAAACATAGGATGGGAAAATTAGTTTTGAAAACTAGAAATAAACTTTACAACCTTTCAACAAATAAATCCCCTTCAGAGTTATAAAGTGCTATTTTCCATTTGTAATGTATTTAAATTGGGTCAGTGGTACAATTTTTGAAGCACCTCTGAATCCACATGTGCATTTAAGGTCAACATAACTACAACAGCAGTAGGTAGCCACTAATTTTATGGAATTATTCAGTTTGAAGGAGATTTGACTGAATCATTCCACCAAAACGGGTCCAAAAACAGGATGGTACTTTTTCATTATTGATTTAGTATAAATGTCCTATTTCAGTTTAGAAATGTCTTAGTTACACAGTGATTTTCTATATATGGGTTTGAAAACTGGTCCCATCTCAGTGCTTCATAAGGCAGATTGCTTTGTTTCATATGCAAAAGAGGATTACCTTTGAGAGCTGCACCTGAAACACAGTGGAACCATTTTGCATATGCCTAATGGCTATACCCGGTCTTCCTGACTTTGCAATCTAACTTAACACACTGTCTAGAAAGAAAAATTCTACTCCCAGTGGTTTACATTTTATTACAAATGGTCATCTATTTGACACTTTGTACATGTGTTACATTAGAATTGGGGATGAATTAGAACCATAGCATACAGGGCCCCGCCAAACTGTTGATTCCCCAGTTACTATTTTTATAGAAGATAAGCTGTCTTGTCATGACTCATGATTCTGATCTCTTTATATGCAGTGCATACACATCATGTTGCTCCAGTTGCTACTACAAGCAGGTGACATCTGAACTCTTCAGTTGTTTCCCAAAACTTAGTTTGTTTTATCATTCCCCCCTCCAGTATTTAGTGACCTCCATAACTTAACAGGCTTGTAAAAAAGACAATAGGAGATTTGCATTATTAGTATTGCAAGATTCTGTTAATAGAGCCTCAGCCTTCTTTTTTATAGCCTGATAAGTTAGGGAGGTTCCTTTCTCTGCCTGATATGTAGCTGAGGGCTTTGCCCTCTCTTATCTGATCATTCCCTAAGCAGCATGCCTTTCTTCCACCTCATCACCCGAGGTCATTCCCACACTCCATTATAGAAATAAATGACAAAAGATTGAAAAACATTTGATTTTACAAAGTTGCTAACAGACTAAAGATCTACATTAATTTGAAATATAATTTGGAATTAATTATAAGAACCTTCCTGTCAAAAATGCTTTTGTTTTTGATTAAAACAACAACAACAATTAAGCCTTTAAAAATTGGACACAAGAGGTTTATGAGAAGGAACAAAATATTATTGTTAAAGGAGAAGAACACTCAAAGTCAACTTACTCTTACATAACGAAGCAAAATATTTTAACTTTGGACATTTTGAACAAATGACCCAGAAGTAATTTTAAGAATATCTGCCTCTGTAGATAAGAGTTGTTAAAAGTTGTTATAGAAGAGGAACAAGTATGGCATGATTGAGACTGATTTCAAAGTGGATTTAAAAATAATAGGCTACAAGAATCACATAGAAAAAAGATGTTATACTAGATACACAATAGAAACTGGCGGATAGTTTAAAATTAAATTAATAACAAACAAAGAGAGTGACCTGGATAATTTTCCTGTATTGAATTGGCAAAATAGGATTGTTAAAGTTTTGAAGAATTTTGAGAGACGAGACAAAGAAAAAAATGAATTTTTAGAAGTAAAAAGAAGAATATAACACTGGTTTATCTCATCAAAGTTAAAATAGATATGTTATTAACTATATCGTAATCCTTAGTGGACTTTTACTGACATCAGGATTGATGGTTTATGGATTTGTTTATAGATAAAAGATATGATATGGGAGAAAGAAATATTTTGTTGCATTTTAAGGGAAGGTGATAAATAACTGAAATTATATTTTTGATAAAGGGGAAAATCACTTTATAGGTTTCTTTTCTTTTTCTTTATTACATTCTAAGAGTAAAGTTTATTTTGTGTTTTTTCCTTTTTCTTTTTTTTAACCTTTTTATAATTTTTTAGTTTGGATTAGTTTTTATTACTGTAAATTGTAATAAATTTATTACGAAAGAATCAAATTGTGAAAGGAGTATATTGTTACCCTGTTTATATGCAAAAATGCTGAACTAGAGATGGAAGTTGGAATTAAAATTGTGTTTCAGGTCTGCTAATGATATCTTTATAAATATCTATCTTTCTTTAGTAGCTGGAAGCAAGAAAGACTTTTAAAGAAAGTCAAAGTTGAATGTTAAAGAGTGCCAAAGCCAATTTTTTAAAAATAATTCTAAGTATGTGACAAGTGCCAATCTGGTAGAAATAGGTGAAGTATTTTCTGGACTCCAAATCCCACAGGATAAGTGTCTGTAACATTAAATAGTTTGCTTCTTAAGGGAAAGACTGACAAATCTGAACAAACTATTGTAGTGAAGATACTTTCAGTTGCCAATGAAGGCAAGTATTGTCAGTGTCATCATCTTCTCAGCCATAACATATGGCCGTGAAAGCTGACCACATAAAGGCTAAAGAAAGAAAATGACTGGATTCTGGTGCTGAATAGTATTTTGGATAGCAAGTGCAAATTTGAAGGATGAATGTGATTTTATCAACAAATAGACCTCTTTGAGATTAAATCAGGTGATCAAATTTTCACTAGAACTTTAACCACTGTATTTGAAAACTTGTTTTACTTTAATAGTGTTTAAAAATCACAGTTGAATATTATTTTGAGGATTGGCATACCTATAAAAGATGATATCTTTAATTTGCAGATAAGCACTGATAAATAGTTATTCCATATCACAATATGGCACCTACTTTAGTACATATTGTCTTTGGACTAGGAAAGAGCAGGTACTTTGTTCTTTCTCCATGGATAATCAGTGTAACTGAAGTTTACTTTGTTATTAGCACTGTAGGAGGTAGGAAAAAATATTTCAGCTGCCACTGCTGGTTTGTAAGCAGTGTGTGATTATATCTATTTAAACAAGTCTTGACTACTTTCATTAGAACTCTCTCTGCTTATTAGGTAGCAGCTGTAAGCTCCTTGAAAGATCCCAGGAATGTGGTTTATCACTGTTCTGGAGTCTTTTACCAACCAGGAGAGATGTGGATCTAATTGGCAGATGGTTGCACTGACTTTTTCCTTAGAGATTTGGATTCACTGTTTTCTGATGCTTTTATCCATCTGCAGGTGCATATACGTATATTTGCTCCACACATGCACCATTTCTGTCTTAAAGCAATAAACACACTAAAAAATGTAAAGTAGGACTATGTCAAAGAGGGGCAAAACAGGATTGTGTTGTATTATCTCAAGTGCAGAACAAGTGAAGGTCCCCTTCCCCCAATCCCAATCCAATGTGTAACAAACAGAATACTCATGAGACTGTTATGCCAAGTATAGTCATTTATCCAGACTGATTGGAAATTTGGGGGTGGTTGGGGATGATAATATCTCACAGATGGGGTGGCACTACCCAAGACAGACCATCAACAACATAGGGGTGAACTCACAGCTCCTGCTTGAAGAGCAGGTGACGGTCGTAGCTATGAGAGCCTTTACACAACTTCAGGTTGTGTGCCAGTTGCTGCTTCTCCTGGATCAGGAGTCCACTCAGTCGTATACACTCTGGTAATCTCATACTTGGACTTCTGCAATGCTCTCTACATGGGGCTATCCTGAAAGAGCATTAAGTCACCAACCTAGAAACCAGGAGATTGGGACCATTCACCTTCAGCACAAAGCCAGCTGGGTCACTTTCTCTCAGCCCTAGGAAATCACTTCCAAAAATCTTGCCAAAAAAACCCTGCAGGGGCTAGTCCAGGAAATTGCTAAGAGTCAAAACTGACTTGAAGGCATGCATGCATGCACACAAACAAACAACGTACACAATGTAAATCCAACAGCCTTCATTTGGAAAACATAATGTACCATTGTAAGCCAATATCTATAGTCCAACAGCAGGTCAGCCACACCCGGACTCTCATTAAAGGAACAAAGAAGAAAAATATTGTTCCTGATGCAAATCCATTCATAAGAATTCCCATTTCTTCATTCCTATTGCAGTAATTTATTGTAAGAAAAATAAAAATGTTAGCAATGTGTTTAATATTTTACTTGTTTTTATACTTTGGGGGCCATAATATGAATGAGCTTCCTTCAAGGTTTGATCTGGAAAAAGGTAACTCTTAATTCATAAAGATGATGCAAAAAGAACTATGTTTAGAAGTTGGTGTATATTAAAATCTCATGTTGGTTGAATAAAAAAGCTCTCTGGTGTTTCTTTTTTTCAGGATCGAAGGCGAATGTTTGAGAACAATCTAGTAAAAACAGGTCTGGAACTAGAAACGGAAGATAAGAAGGTAGGAATTACTGTGGGTTGTTAGTGATTAAAATAAATGATTAGAAGTATTGGGGCAATGAAAATCGCTAGAAATAGTTGGAAGTGGGATCTTTGCTCCCTGAACACCATGTTTAACTTGTTTGTTTGTACTACCATCATTATATATAAAAGATGGTAATCAGAAAATAATACTGACAAGTTTCTGAAGCAACTGTAGTATTATAAGGGTACTCCACAATTGATCTGTGTCTTTTGCAGTTTTGTAAGACATTGCATTAATATTCTGCCCTTTTTTTTTTTTTTTTGTTAAAGGGAGATTGCATGATTTTATATCATACTTTTATGTCTATCCTGGATTATAGGTAATTCTATGCAGCATTGGAACTGATAAACATAACTAGCAACTGCATGGAAAAAAAGATTTGGACATAAAGAGAAGGTTTCATGAAAGAAGTGGAATGTTGAACATTACGAAGTTTCAAAAACTGGCATTTTTAAATGTTTTCTGGCTTTTGTGTGAAGGGTGGAAACTGAAAATTGATTTTTAAAAAAATCTAACTGATTGCTTTTTCTCTCTTCCTCCAACCCCTTATTAGCTAATAGCCAACTTGCTCCAATTTAATGTTCTCAATTCTCAATATCTTATTTTTGGTAAACTGCCCAGAGTCACTGAAAGTGAGTGGGCGGCCATGCAAATTCTGTAACTAACTAAATAAATACAATAAAATATTTAATATATCATGTATCGGTAATTTTCCCCTAGTAGTCCCCAAATAACTGGCTCTGAACTTATGTTCAGATTGTGGGTGCAATCAAAAGGAAATAATTACAAATCTTAAATCTTTTGTGTGTGTGTGTGTGTGTGTGTGTGTGTGTATACATGTACATAAATACAAACACACACACACACACACACACAATCTCCTTAGCCAGCACTTGTTAGGATAGCTGAAAATTAGTCTTTGTTATTTCCCCCCATTTTCCATAATACTAATGAAATTAGTGATAACTAATGATTTAAGTGTGACTAACGTTTTTTGCCTCAGATTCTAAAAAGGAAACTACAAAAGTACAATGCAGTAAATGGCAAACCTAGAGGTGATTCTTACAAATGTTTTAGAAGCCACTTTTACCCTATTAGAATTGAGGTGTCCTTGTTTCTCATATGTGTATTTTATGTCCATACACTTAAAAGTTGCAAGACACCTTCAGCACTAATTGTCTGATTTTTTTTATTTTTAGTCCCAGAATGTTTTAGATTGCTCTCCCTCCCC